ATTATCACAATTGCACACTTATGTAAGGTCTGATTTGTACAATTAACAATAATTTCTGACAATTGACAATGTTCAGGTGGAGACAAGAGCGATCGTGAAGGACATGATAGAGGGCAATCAAGTATACCAAAAATCACAAAAACGCATTCTCAAGTGGATGTCCTATAACTACGCCCGTATCATAGATATCTTTAAACGATTTGACGTCGACGGAAGCGGTTCGCTGTCAATGGAAGAGTTTTGCCTCGGAATGAAATCTCTAGGTGAGTCACGTGATATTTTTTAACCAATAGGAAATCTTGTCGTGTTACTTGCTCGCGCGCGCAAATCTTATAGAACTCATGTTTTTATTAGCTCCGTAGCAGACGTTCTTAGAATCGAACCGCTAAGATGGAGTCTACATGTTTCTAGGAAAAAATCGGCCTCTTAAAAAATAAGCCAGTGATTTCAAAAAATTATCTTTTGCGTATCTTTGCATTGCTTTTAAAATGGCAAATTATGACGATGCACTAAGTAACGTCTAAAATGTCAGTTTTTATTTCTTTACAACGTATGATATCACCAAAACTGCATTTTCAGTCAAAATATATATCGCTATAAGTCTACTAATGGCGCGCTCATTTGTTACATTACAGGAACATCGGCGCCATTTTTTTTTTTTTTTTTTTTTTGGTCTGAAATCATTTCGTAGACGAATTTCTTTCGCTTTAGTATGGTTCGGTTTCCAGGGTTTCCGATTTCCGCTTACGTCGAATCTTGGTAGATTTATCTATATACCCTCCTGTCATCAAATATTTATTCACTAGGTGGGAGGAACAAGCGACATCGACAGACAATAAAAACCATTTTTAAATTGAACAAAGCGAACAATAACAGTTTTTATATCAACAYAAGAAAGATAACGCCAGTGATTTTTCTAGAATTATCGTTCTTCACAGTGTTAWGAGAARAACGTTTTAAGAAAAATGTACGAACGTCAATTCACGCTCGTGACATAGAAATATCTAAACAAATAATATTCATGTTTATAACACTGTACACTAATGCCGGAGTTTTATAAGTGTATTTACGAAAAATAAAACAATTCGCAATTAAACTGAAAAAAATTGGACCAATTGCTTTAGACACAGCATGACCAGGTGTCATTAAAAATACCACAATTCAGTCGAAAGCCTACCAGAACACGACCAAAACGAGTCGATTATGGCGGTTTATTTTTCATCTGGTGCGAAAATAACTTTTCGTCAATGAAAAGTTGCAAAAGTGAGGCAACAATTGAAAGAAAATTCCAAGGACTGAAATGATTAGTGCTGGGTTATTTAAAGACTGAAAAGTAGCAGAGTAAATGCTAAATAGAATTTCGTGGAAGAGTTTTAATCCGAAAAATTAGTAAGTAAACAACGTGAATTTTACGATGTGCGGTTTCTCTTGAACACAGCCAACTCTAAKTACTATTTTAACACATATTTCTCACGTTMTCTCACAATGACAGGTGCCCCAGCGACAGAAGAAGAGCTAAACTTAATGGCCCAAGTGCTAGACTTTGACAACGATGATTCAATCGACTTTAGCGAATTCAGAAAACTAAAGAAATATAACAGAATCACCCCGAAACACGCACGTAGGAGCCACGCCTCCTCTCCGGAGGAAACAGATCGTAGTAGTTCTTCAAGAGCCAGTCCYACTAAAGAGGTTGGTTCAGCACACAGACGAGTTGCCTCCGAGAAAACAAATAATCTTCCTCGGTTAAAACCGTGCACAAAGTGTTACGTTGGACTAAAAGAGCCGCTGGGTCAATCCAAATATGACAGGTAGYGTAAGACTATACTCATAGGGGGTGGGGAGAGAAAAATTCACACTCCMAAGCCAAGGTCTGAAATACTGTAGCTAAATGAGCGAAATATTAACAACATTTGTAACTAAAGCTTAGTAAATGCAAACATCAATGGTTGTTTCGGTTTGACGCATTCATTAGGACTCAATTTTTGATATCATCATGATACCACTTGAATCATAACAACTTTTTTGCGCTTTCCTTTTCAGACATATCTGCTTACGAATGTCAAGTATTTCCAAAGTATCTCACAAAAAATCGCCAATCGGACAATTCAAGCTCAACGTCAGTCCGGAYATGACCGTATATGGCATACAAAGGCTCACGAAAGCCGAGCTCGGAAGTACGGCGACGAATGTTCGGATCTTCCGAARACAAGATAAGAAAAGAGTTGAACTACTCGAGCAACATAAACACTTAGGGGAGTATGGTTATGAGGGAGCTCTAACTTCAGAAAACCCTGAAATGGTGTCTTTGTTTTACGATTATACGTACCCTAAACTTGATTGTCCACTCGTAAGTGCAAGTTTGTCAAGTTAGCAACAACCAGGAATGGACAGAACGCCATTAAAGGATACATCAAGCGTTCTGTAAAGAATGTACTCCTGCGCAACTTTGGAAATGAAAAAAATAAAGATAGAAAAGAAAACAGCAAAATAACGCTTATACAAAGATAAATAAAATTTACTTTATCGGTAATTGCAATAAAGTGTAATTTAAATTTTAGCATTTTCCATTTTTTCCTGTAACAGAAAGTGCTGTGAATCTAATTTCATAAGTATTTACTATTAATGTGTATTGCCTAAGTATACTGTATAGTTGAATTCTCATGAAATTCCTGATACTTGGATTATTCTAACGCTATGATCTGAACCACAACATCCCAGRTAAAGAATCCCATCAKCCTTCGCKTGATTGGTCGGCCGCCATTTTAATCTTTTGACTGTCAATACGGGACACAAGCTGATGAAAATGTAGAATAAAAAGCTGCTAATACCGGTGTATAATAAATCAATAATGTAATAGTAAAGCCTCATAGTCATCGAATATATAGAACTGTATTTCTTCWGAGGATGGGGGATGAAAAAAAGGAAGTGAGGGCCGGTGACGATGGGAAGACGGATTGGTAAAACTGAATGGGTAGCTGGGACGRAGCTTTTTTCCCTAGTAACACTGAAAACGCTTCTCTCGAGATAAGAAAGACCAGAGATATAAAGTAACGACATACCTTCGATCCAAGTGACTCAGAACGCTCCACTGTTTTTCAGAAGACCACGAGTAAAGAGAGATACGACCAGACTCTCTTCCGACCGAGACCAAATAACTAAGAAAGAAAAATAATAATTATCTTTCTTTAGGTATATTTTGTTCACCGGAAGCCCATCATAGTGAATATATAAACCATTATGTACCTTGAATTKTTTATAAATGTGGTTGCCATATCAACTGCAGTAGCCGGTTCTCCAGCATCKARTGGACTGGATACTGGTACCCAGWTTTCTTTTTCTGCWGTTGMTTCGGYGTTAGAGCCCCACATAATAACCTGYAACAAAGTATTTTAAACATAAAAATAAATAAAATAATAAAAATGTCTAATGACTGACTGACTGATTGATAGGTTGATTCACTGATTAGTTGATTGATTGATTGATTAAACGATTGATTGATTAGTTGATTGATTGATTGATTGTTTTGATTGACTGTTTGATTGATTGTTTGATTGATTGAATAGTTGATTGATTGATTGTTTTGATTGATTGATTGATTGATCGATCGATTGATTGACAGGTCTTTGTTCTTGAAAAGAAAGTCACCTTCTTATCCCTAGAGGCTGTTACAAAGTAGCGATCRTCGTGACTCCAGGCACATGACCATATTATYCTRCTATGTTGCTGGTTCTTTTTAAGTGAAGTACTATGACACACTAATCGAAATAATGAACCTGCAGAACAAAAATAGTAAATCATCCACATGAATACAAAGTATTCACTGGAAAAAATCGCGTGCTTTAAAGTTTGTAAATTTGATGTATATATGATGTAAGTGTCCAAAACGATGTAAATTTGATGTAAATCATTTCCATCAAATTTCCATCATTTTGGAAACTTACATCATATTTACATCAAATTTACAACCTTTGTGGCGCGCGATTTTTTCCAGTGATCGTTGAATTTACAATTCATAACAGAATCGCACCTGTCACCCGTTGTACGTAGCGTTGGATAAAGTTATCCATTTACTAGATTTTGTACAGGATTTTATCAGCTATACAAGGATTTACCCGATGGATAGCGCTATTCAACYTTCGTAAACACGATCCCAGGTTCACAACTTACTTGACTCAGTTTGTCTTCTAAAAATAGCCCARCTCCTATCACGTGACACGGTGAGAAGTCGCTGACCAGAATGACTGAAAGCCATCTGAGTTACAGTCAATGTATGCCCCGATAAAGAGTCGACCTGCCGCCAGGTAGTCGTATCCCATAATAGTATACACGCATGTTCAGCTTTTGAAGCCTGYAACAAGCAAAGATAATCTTGATAGCTTCACATAGCAGTTGTTGCGGTTAACGCAAAATTATTTTGAAGTACTGCTGCTTGTAGCATAAAAACATAATTGTAATATGAATATCCGAACAAAAAAAGAAACCTTGCATGATGAAGCCAAAAGAGTACCATCTGGACTTGAAGCCAAACAAAATATTTCAAAACCATGTCCGTATCTGAAATAAGATGTCATTTTCTAAATACTCAGTATCTGGTGATGGCGATGATAATAATGATGACGATAATAACATTAGCTCATTACTACGAGTACACTCACAGTTTTTGTGATTCTGGCCAAAGTGTATTCTGTAGAAGATCATCTTCAGTAGGGGGAGCTATTCATTGAGAAAGCATTMATCTGTTAATCCAACAAKAAGTAAAAGTAGAGGAGAAAGGATCACATACCAGTTGACACAACAGGAGCAAAAGGCAGAGGTTCCTCATTAGCAAATGCTGAAGCCCTTAATGGTCTGCCTGGGTCTTCTACATCTTGCTTCAAGGAATCCAAATCACCTAACACAGATATGATAATCTATACTTTACTGTCTCCAATAAGAGTTGCTCATTAAGTCCGATTTTTACTGGTGAAAAAACTTTTTTGGTTTATACCGCTTCTTTTGCTATTTCACTGTAGCTTCGCGGCTTTTTTTACAGTCGCTGTTCACACATGAACAATAGGCGTACTTTCACTGCTTTCTTCTTCTCTGTCTTTCTGTTCCCTACTGACTCATTCCTGAATTCACGTTAAAGATACGTAACGTATAAACCAAACTTGTACCTTCAAAGACAGCCTTGTTGGATAAACCAAGWGCTGGKACACTGGCTCCTAGAGGRAGGTCTTYTGGTAACTAAAGCAAAAACAATCATGGTTTGTCCAAAAGAATGATGAGAAATGTCACACATCGACACTGGGGAAAAAAACACACTGTGCATGTCCACAGCTTTCCCTCCAGTGAGCGTGCGCGTCTTGAAATCTGCCTAATTTAACACAGAAAACACTACGAAAAACCCCATTTTCTCAAAATAGAAATGACAAGATAAAAATAGAAACTACATACTAAAAGAACCTATCATGAACAGAGATTGATGGAAATATGAATCTTATATATCGGTTAACGAGCTTATAAATTGTAAAAAACTTTTACAAAAATCGCCAGGTGCTCTGTTTACAAATAAATTAGGCAGATTTCAAGACGCGAGCGCTCACTGGTGGGAAAGCTGTGGACATGCGCAGTGCATTTTTCACCAGTGTCCACACATCCTTGTTGTTCCTCACCTTATTGTGTTCTGTGATGTTACTAAGGGACTTAAGACTGTCTAAAAACTGCCGAGGAGCTTTAAACATTCTTACAACCTATGGATTTATAATTATAATTATAAATAATAAAATCTAGTCATTACCACAACCTTTATTTTTGACATCATCACCATCACCAGCAGCATTATCATTCATTTTTTAAATATCATCATAATCATCATCATAATCGTTTATTTTTGATATCATCATCATCATCTATGGCAATTGCTGCACAAATCACTTACCTTTTCATCAGCACCAGAAGCCAGAGTGTATCGATCTACAAGCGTAAAACACTGCATRTCATACCCATGCACTTGTGGGCGGGCTATCTCATGCCAAGTTGTCTTTCAGAAAAAAAGAAATGATTCACATATATAGCAGAGATATATTTTCTTCGAAAACAGATAATCCAAGACACCTTAAGTTCATATAATTTAATGCACATGTTATTATAGCTTTAATTAGCACAAAGAAATTCATAGTAAAAGRCAATTCAGTTAAAGTTATTTGTATTCATTTGAGGTACAGTATATAACTTGTACAGTTTATACCTTCTTTCCTGGTCTGCACCAGGGAGCATGAAGTCTTGTTGTTTGATCAGTACTAACACTCATAAGGAACTGACCCTCTGGATCCCAGCATATATCCTGATTAAGACAAATAGAAAATGGACAAAATCAAATGAACATTTGAAAGAAAGTTGGGATCAATATTAAAACAAAATAATAAAAAAAATGAGAAAAAGAGAGAAGTGTGCAAATGCTACAGACAGACTTAGAGTGTGAGGATGTGAAGTGAGTTAAGAATAAAGAAACACTGAGAAAGGAATAAATAAAAGAAATCACAGAATAAATGGAAAGAGGAAGGGAAAAGAATGAAATAAAATGTGATAACAGGGAAATTAAGATTCAAGAGAAAACTAGAAATGAAATGATAATACTTTAAATATGAATGTGAATAAAGGTATAYCTGAGTTGTCTAGGAAGTTACCTCTTACCTGAACTGAACCAAAGTGACCACTGACTGTCACGCCTGGTACCCACCTCTCTACATCATTCTGTATGACAAATTCATTTTGAAATAAATGTATAATATAACAACTGTGTCCATCAATAATAATCATTTTTTCCATCATAATAAATATTACAATCAGMTATAATGATTATATTCAGGGAGTATTGACAAAATTGCTATCAAAATAAGAAATAATACTATGTATCTTCTATGTACCTCGCTTAAAGCTGCATTCTTCCATATATGGAAAGCACCTTGATAGCTATGTCCTAATATGGAAGTACCATCAGGGCTGAACACTGCTCCAAAGAAACCTAAAGTGGTACCTCCGACACCACCTACACGAACCTGAGAGAAAATAAACACTGACTTCAATTCATGGTGACCWTAGTCCCTTTGTTATCCATCATTAGTGTAGTTCCCAAGCCATCACAGTASTGAGTGAGARGRAGAKCCTGGGGCCAACACYTAAAATAGCGATGATGACYATGTAACTGTAAGAATACTGATAATTACCGCTTCCAGCCAAACACCAGATTCTTCATCTGGTTTCCAGATAATCAGTGTTTTATCAAATGAAGCAGACAGTAAGCTTAGTGGCTGGAAATATGCACCATCTTCTGGAAACAAAAATACAATAATAGTATAATAAAGTTTACACCAAATGTTATTGAATGTTATCACAGATCACACTCATATGCAAATGTTCAGTCCTTATCTCTAACATTTTTTCTTGGTTTGTTTCTGAAAAGATGGACATGACTATTAATCGCAACACTAGATATAATATTTACCTTTCTTCAGCACTGGCTGCCAGTGTACACTATAGACTATATCCTCATGACCTGACAACACTGACTCAAGGACAACAGAAAATTCAAATTCTGCTCCTAAAAACGAAAAATAATCATGCCAAATATCAACTTACAAAAGTCACGAGAGAAAAACAATTTATTGGTAAGTCTTTATCCTTTTAATTTGTTTGATTCTTTTGCTTGTCTGCTTGTTTATTTTTATAATCATTATCATACATAGCTGCTTATTGCATTTATTAATAATCACAAATTGCTTTATTAATAAACATTTCATAATTATTCAATGTAATGACTGTTATTAGCAATTTTATTTCAACCTTCGGAAATGACTGTAAAAAGGTTGGAGGTTAACTTGAGTTCCTCGTCTAGTAGACCATCAGTAGCTGTGATAGGAGGCTTCATATCATCTCCACAGTGCCTCTGGTTCTTATTTGATGACGAAATTCTCCATATTCTTATAAAACAGTCTTTAGAACAAGATGCAAGCAGAAGATCTCCAGAATCTAAAGATACAACATGATTAATATGTACATATAAAATACAACACTAATCATAAAATACTGTCTGAAGAGTGCGCAGCAAGAAACTTGGAGTAACAGCAAAATCTTGCCTCTTTGATATTATATATAACCAGCTCTACACTATATGTGTATGAGCACTCTTTAATGGGATCAGCTACTTCCTCATACTATTACATATAATATACATATAATTATATCAGGGGATCTCGGAAACTTAATAGAGTTAAGTACATTAACTTCAAAGGATTAATTAAAAAAATTGAATATCATGACCCAGGAAAGATAAAAAATCAGAGAAGCAAACAAGTTTTCTTGCTTGAATGTACCCTCCCTCCTGAAGATATGCCAGAAACATCTACTAGCTTCATTCTAATGTCATTGCATATTATGATATTAACCTACCATCAAGAGCAAATTCCACTCCTCGTATCCAATCCTCATGACCAACAAGACTTTGAACTTTTGTAAACTTAGCAATTAAAATACACAATTTTAAAATAAAATGGTGCTTTTGTATTTAACAACACTAGTGGTTGTATCAGATTTACAAGGTCAATCACCTGATTAAATGGTCAGCCCTTATTGGAGCAATAGCTTATGCATTACTAATAAGTTTTATAATATAGTTTAATCTTTCAAATGTCTATCATTATGACAAATATTGAAGTACCCCATGACCAGAAGCTGGATGCCAAGTACACGTACATAATTACTTAGTAAAAACAACAGGAAATATGTAGAATACCTGTTTTTCCTTCTCCACAAAAATATATATTTTACTATCTTCATTTCCACATGCTAAAATTGGTACTACAGGACAAGAAACAGAGTTAAAAAAGAAAGAGAATATTTCTATAAAGGAGTATTATTAATAACATGGTATTAAATATATCAAGTAACCAAAGGTAACACAGGATTTGTATGAGTATTAGGAGAATGTATGTACACCATATATTGAAAGTCAAGGTGTACTCTGTAAGTCATGAAAAAAGAATAGATATCACATGAGATTTTGGGCTTCATGTTGAAATGCAAAAACACAGGAACCCCAATGATTTGTTKTGATTGTACCTTTACTGCCAGGGCAAACAGCTAAATCAACAGTRACAGAAAAGCCATAACCAAACAAAAGTGTCTGCGCACATTGAAATCCACCTAAGATTGTATACAGAAATAAAACATTTTAATGTCTTAAAAGACACAATTTCATAGACTCGATGTGAATAAAAGCTACATTTGTGGAATAAGTTACTTGTTATACCATCACAATSTAGTCTTTCCCATATCTTGACAGTACTATCAGCTGATGAAGAACTAATAATTGTTCTTTTGCTGCCATYATTATTGGTTATGGAAATAGCTGCTATGGAGTTCACTGTACTGGAATGACCCTCTAATACAGACAATGGCTGCCACTAGAAAATATTTATAATTAACAATTAGATGGATGATGTAGCATCATTATAAGCATGACTTTGGTCTACATGATAGAATTGATATATAAAAACAAAGGCATGGTTTACGGTGTACCTTTTTAGCCTGTCTTCTCCAAACAATTACAGTTTTATCTGTTGAGCCTGATGCTATTTCGCACTCTATTTCTGTAAAAAAAGAKAACTATTTTATCATATTTGTATGGAGAATACCTTATCATACAGTAATCATCATCATCATCATTATCATATCATAAATCATTATAACAAAAACAATTAAATAACGACAAACACAATRACTTTCTTTACCTGATCCATTTTTTATCCACTTCACACAATTAACTCTATCTTTATGACCACTCAAAACATCTTCTACTCTTCCAGCGGAGTTTTCATTCTGGCGGATATCGCAGAAGTACAGACATATCAAGTAAACAATATACATAACAAGTCAGGTRTGTTAGTCAATTTATCGTTAATTTTATGGAATTGTACGCTTTATTTA